GGTCATCCATAGCCGCGCTTAGAGGCAGCGCGCCCGCTGGGGGATCTGGAGGTGGCGTGGGTGTCGCCGGCTCTCCTCCTCCGCCTGGGTCCTGTCGTCGGAGAGCTCGAGTGCGGGCTGCCTGCTCTGCGCCGCAGAGTGCAGCCAGGCACGAGTGCTTCGACTTTTTCCTAGGGCGCAAACAGACCTACCTCGCTTTTGACCACCCCCGCTTCCAAGAGATACCAAGCGACGCCAAACTACGGCCTGCGCTGGTCAGGCCGCTCGACGAGGAGGCGCGTGGTATGACTTGGTTTTGCCTGGAAGCGAAAGCGGGGTAGGTAATTCACGCTCTGATTTCCGCACTCTGTGCCGCCGCATTGCATGGGGAATCACCCTCTAAAGGTTCTGACATGAGCAGTGCCAGCCTAGAGAGTGAACAGCTACGAAACGCGGTGCACCACGCCATTGGAGAGAACGAGGCATGTCTTTTTGTTTTTGGTTTCCCCCCTCCCCTCCGAGAGCGATGAAAACTGTCGGCTTCCCAGCTGATGGGAAGGCGGCTCCATCAAACAGAAACTGCTGAGCATCCGCCCTCGGCTGCCGAGCCAACCGAAATTAGCGTCACGAAACTCGGCCCCTAAAAGAAATTATATGTCCCGGCCGCGTTGCCGACAACTCGCTTCCCCAGAAGATGCGCAACCTCCCGTGAGACGGAAAACGAGGAGGAGAGGCGGAGTAGGCAGAGGAAGGGAAGGGGAGGAGAGGGGATGGATGTATGTATTAAGCGTTGTGGTGCATGTCCCCATGATCCGAACGATCATTCATGTACACTGACACTCATAGAAGAGTTCCATGCGTCACCACGCAAACTCACGCAAGAAGCAATCGGCCCCCAAGCCGAGCGAGAACACAATTACCGACAATGCAGATGAAATATAGCAAATCGTGAGACGAGAAAGCTGACAGCTACACTCAGTTGACCGGATCATGCACTGCAGCGGAGGCGGGGCGGGGGAAGAGGAGGAGGACGAGCAGCGAACGAGGCGCAAGATGGGGGGGGGGGACGATCTGTGAGCACTCCTGGTGCTGCGTGCAAGCGCGGAGCAAAGCAAAAGCCTCAAGCCAAGACGCGAAGGAACTGGGCGACAATCGCTCACCAGACTTGGATTTTTTCCAATCGGCCCCGGAGGTCCCGACCCCTTCTCCCTGGGGGTGGCTTTTCATCCCGGATCTGTTTTTGATGGTGCCCGGGCCCGACAACGGGCCCTGGAGGGCGAGATCGGGGAAAAATTCGCTGGGATTGAAAACATCCGATCCGCGGATCTCTGGGGACATACAACACCACAGAGGCCAAACCGGGCAAAGAGGCGCGCCGGCGTTAGATCCCCTCCCTGGCGCGCTCCGCGCGCCCGGGGCGGCGCTAGAGACGCCGCCAGGAGTCCAGCGCCGATCCGAGAAATCCGCGCGGACCTCCCACTGCTGATGCTTGTGCAGTTTTTTCTTCACCGAGGGAGGCGGGAAGCGGGGCGATCCCGAAATCTACAGCATGAAGATCACATTGTTCTTGTCTGCCTCCCACCATGTTTTAGAACCGTCCCGACGGAAGATATCTACTCCAGATTTCGTAATAAAAGGGAGGGGGTCTGGACCCTCCAAGACAAGCCACTTCAGACCCCCCCCGTGGGAGAACCCTCCAAAACATCGTCCCAGACCCCCCCAGGCCCTCCAAGATAGCCTGGACGAGACCCGCCCCCCCCGAAATGAGGCCCCCCTCCCTTTGTTACGAAATCGGGAGTCTGCGGCTAAGAAATTCGCGCAACATTGCCTGCGAGAAAGAAGGACGAGACTTGGTAGTCCCCAAACGTGGTGGTGACAACACCTGGCGGTGAGTCTCGGGTGATTTGGTGTCACCACCCGGTTTGGGGACTCGTGCGGTTTTCCGAGGATGTCCTGGACACTGGTGGGTCCAGGAGTCACAGAACCCGGCGGTGACCCCGCGTCCCCAGACCCAGCGGTGACCTTTTTGGGGATTCCAAGTCTCCACCTGATATCTCACCACCCAGTTTGGGGGTTCCCAACAGAAGGACGAGACGGACGAGCAGGAAGCAACGGACGGCGAAGACGCGGGGCCGGAACGCGGCCCCCCTGCGGGAGCGGCTCGCGGGACCCCGGCGGCCAACGGCGGCCCACCAGCAACGCCTGCACGCCCTCTGGGCGCCCCGTGGGCCGCCGGAGAGGGCGAAGGAAGGGAGGAGGAGGAGGAGGAGGAGGAGGAAAAGGAGGAGGAGGAGGAGGAGGAGGAGGAAAAGGAGGAGGAGGAGGCGGAGGAGGAGGAGGAAAAGGAGGAGGAGGAGGCGGAGGAGGAGGAAAAGGAGGAGGAGGAGGCGGAGGAGGAGGAAAAGGAGGATGAGGAGGAGGAGGAACGGAGGAGGAGAAGGACGGAGACGAGGACGAGAAGGAGGAGGAGAGGAGCAGGAAGGGAAAAGAGGGGAGAAGAGAACCGAGCCATGACAGAGGCCAGACACGTGGCGAGTGAGCCAGGAACGTGTGCTCCTCGGCGCGGGTTTCGACCAGGTCGGCCCCTGCGTGCAGCACGAGGCGCGCGGCTGCTCTCGGCCCCGCCGCACCCAACATTTCTCAACAGAAGCGCATGTGCCAGGGGCTCCCAACTTCGCGCTTCGCGCTGCGCGAAGCGCGAAGTGCGAATCACTTCGCGCTCTCGCGCCGCCTCCCAGGGGAGAAAGAGAGGATGAGGAGGAATCGGAGCCGAACCGCGAAGCGCGAAGGGCGAATAACTTCGCGCCCTCGAGGGCGCCCTTGATGTACGCATGACGACACCGTGCTTCGTCCGATGCTCACGCGGGGCTGCTCCCTGACCCTTTTTCTTGAGAGCACCGCGGGCTCCGCCGCCCGTGGCTTCCAACACCTGGACACAAAGAGCGCAGGACGGCAAACGCACGCCGACCAGCAATTTCTGGGGGAGAAGGGGTCAGGGGTCAGGGGGGGCCAGGGACGCCCTCTCAAATGGCATTCGTCCGTCCTGTTTGTTCCTGCCGCTTGCGTTTAAATATTCGCGCGCCTCGATTGCTGCGGACGTCAAGTGCCACGCACCTCGCCAGTGTGTCGTCGTACTTGCCTCCAGCAGTTCGAGCAACCGCCTGGACTGACATGGTGTCATCGCCTTCGGCTGCAGCACGACGCCCAAAGCCAACGCCAACGCCGGCTCCAACTTTCAGTTCGACATCTGAACTTGATCCAACCGACGATGGCATGGCCCCGCTTCCTTGCCCAGGAAGATTAAACACAATCCTTATTCCCACACTTGTCTCACCACGGCTTTCTGGCCGACTCGCGATCCAACGGCTCCAAGCCCACCCGTCCCGTTCGCCGCCGATCCGCTTGAGGCATGATTCCTTATTATGCAAACGCCATCCGTCCTCTATCCTCTCCACTTCTTATGTAACCTAAGGCTCCAGCGCTAATTGCCCTCTACGACTCGGCTGGCCTTGCCAACAAGAAATGCAAAGCTGGCTGAGCTCCGCAAGGCTGTTGGGACTGCCGTGCTGAACCGGATCTGTATATACTTTACGTTATGCCATATGCTATGTGTAGACTTGGTCGTTTCGATGCGGTCTTCAACTCCTGCAGGCCTCGCAATTGAAATCACCAGGCTTTCCACCAAAATGGAGTGCGCCCGCTGGACAATGTCTCTATCCATCTCTGGTTTGTTGGGTGCTTGGGGGCGGATCGGAGCAGAAACGGTGGAAGCGGGAGCAGAGTAGCAGGAAGATCGCAAGCACATAACGAGAAATTCAAAAGTGTGCAGAAAGAAACAAGACGATGACGAAACAATGCGAACAACGGGGATGTTAAAGAAGGCGAGAGATGAAGAGATCACCAATAAGGACTCGTAGAGAAATCCATGCGGAGACAATGTAGGGCCACGGCTGATACTTTTCTCGCAGGTTGAGAGGATCCCGCACTAGCGATCGAGCTGCAGGCACTGAAACACACTGAAGTGCGCCAATGACATCGGAGCGCACTTTGCCGTCGAATGGTCCCTGTAGTCTCCTTAGTGTACCACTTGCCTCACAAAATGGCCATCTCCACAGTGTGGGTTAATTGTTGAGCAACGTTGAGCGGGGGTCACCTAATTGTCACCACTTGAGGGTCAAGTGTGCAACAACTAAATACCGTTTGCATCTTAAGTGGACGGATGAAAAGCATTGGTTCATGCATGGATGGACGGCAAGGTTGATGTCTGGAACGGCACGAATGAATCTTTACACCGTTATCGCCCCCAACCTCCCTGGTGGCTGTCAACTGGTCGTCCACAGCCAACAAAAACGACAATTTCCGCAGCGTTTAACATCTGGCTTCTAATCGTGGTCAGAAACTGCCGCACCCCAGAACTCCTACGGGTAACCCGTCAAATTCCTGCTTCGGGCTGTCAGATGACAGCTGACCTCAATCTGCGAACGTTTCCCACCATTTGGCCAGCAACAGTTCTCTCGCGTTGGCGCCTGCCGCAATGACACTATGTACTCGTGCTGTCGTTTGAGCGCTACTCACATTCCCATCACGGCAATGGTTTCGCCTGAGCGCTGGCCACGCTCCATGCATAGAGTGGTGCTCTCGTAATAGCACTGGGCGTGCGCATTCACCGCAAGGAACCCTCGCCCCATCGCGGGCCAAGGCCCCAGCATGCAATGGCGCCCTCGTCGTGGCATTGGCCACACTCCTAGCATGGAAAAGCGCTCGCGTTCGAGACTGGGCCGCATCCCCATGCCGCCTTCGCCCAGGCCGCGCTCTAGCGGTATCCACATTCCCGCGCTCTCGCCTCCACGCCACGAGGCATTACTGCCACAGCGCGCTGGTGCGCACTACCTGCTGTCAGCTCGATGCCGTCACGACCACTACGTACCACCGCAGCTGCACCTCCACCGCTCCCCATTCAGGGGCCACCCCGGCGGCCCTGACAGCCCGCTCTCCCTTAAGGAGCAGGGCGCCGCGGCGACTCAGGAGGGGCGCACCGCCTTTATCCTGGGGGGCGGCGGGGCGGTAGCGGGCGAGGCGGGAGATGCTGCCTGGCACGGCGGAAAGCGAGGCAAGGACGCGCGCTCGTCGTCGTCGTCGTCGTCGTCGTCGTCGTCGTCGTCGTCGTCGTCGTCGTCGTCGTCGTCCTCGTCGTCGTCGTCGCCGTCCTCATCTTCCTCCTCCTCCTCCTCCTCCTCCTCCTCCATCCCTCTCTCGTTAGCAAGTGGCACGCGTGCCCTGGCTCATGCACAAGAGAGCGGCAAGGGGAAGGAGAAGCGTGGGGGCCAGGCGCACGGAGTCGGGGAGGTCGGAGATCGATGGCGAAAAAGAGAGCATCCGAAGCCCCGGGGAGGGGGTTCGGGAGGCCATGGAGGCCGGAGGCCAGAGCTACCTGGGAGGCCGGCCAGGGCAGGGGGTCCAGAGGAGGCCACGACAGCACGACGACACGATACGCCCGACACGACGACGAGGACGAACACACAGCAATCCGAAGCCCTGGGAAGGGAAGGCCAGGGAGGCCGTGGAGGCCAGGGCTACCACCCAGGACTGGATTGAAAAGAAGAAGTCCGGCAATCCCCCAAGAGCCGCGTGCTCCGATCTCTTAATTACTCTTAATACGAAAAAATAACTTTGGTTCTCAATGAATTGTCAATTCCACTGCTCGCGAAATCACCCCACCCACCTACCCGCAACTTGGTTTGCAAAACCCATGTGGGGGCGACTGCGATGACTGCTTGGCGCTGGCTGGCGCGTCGCTGCGTCCGCGCTGGCGCGCGCAGGCTCGCGCGCAGAGCGGCCAGCTAGTCTGGCGCAACGGACGTGGCTGCGGTGGCGCTGACCGCTGGGGGCTTCTCAGCACGTCTCGCAAGCCGCGCTGACGCGCGGGCACATCAGTGCGAGTCGGTGACCCAGGCGGGCGTGCTACCATGACGGCGTCGACAACAGCAGAAACGATGATGATAGTAGCGCTGCTGGTAGCGATGATGGCAATGACGACGGCAAGGGCAATACGGCGCCGATGCTAATCACGCCGATGACGATGATGGTGTCCTCGCGTCAATGTTGAAGGGATTGGAAGGAATTTCGACATGCGCGCGCGGCCGACGCGCGCGAGTGGTACGCATGGTGCTATTTGGCAGGGGTCGTGCCCCCCAAGCACGCGCGCAAGGGCCTGTCGAATGATTTCGACATGCGCGCGCGAGAGGCCCGCTTAGTCAAAATTGATGAAACATGTTTCAGAGCCGATGGTTTTCTCAAACATCCGGAAAAAACGCACGCGCATATTTTTCGAACACTCATGTTGCAAAACCATTGTGTTTCATTGCTTTCGGGACGCTCGATTTTGAAATCCATGCGAAGCCTGAAGTTTTCAAGGATTTCGGCACGCGCGCGCGGCGACGCGCGCGTGTGCACTACGTTCCGTCTTTTGCAAGGGATGTTTGAAAACTGGTGATTTTTGACAAACGAATTCGCGCACACAAGGTTTTTTGCAAGAAAGGAAGGGGGTCGATAACTGGACTGACTGCCTGGGATTGCAGGAACTCATATTTAGGATGGACGAGTGTGCAGAATCATGCACAAAAAACGCGAAAAAAGGTGACGTGTTAATCCCGAGGGGGAGGGGGGTAGATCCTAATGCTGTTGTAAATAAAAACAATGATCAATGGGCGGCGACGGGGCGGCGACGGCGAGCACGGAGCTGCCAGACCGCCAGACAGGCCCAGACGACGAGCGACGACGAGGCGGCGACGGCGGGCAACGAGACGGCGACGGGGTGGCGACGGCGAGCACGGAACCGCCAGACCGCCAGACAGGCCTACACGACGGCCGGCGACGAGGCGGCGACGGGGCGACGACGGCGAGCACGGAACCGCCAGACCGCCAGACAACCCCGGACGACGGCCGGCGACGAGGCGGCGACGGGGCGACGACGGCGAACACGGGACCGCCAGACCGCCAGACAACCCCAGACGACGGCCAGCGACGAGGCGGCGACAGGGCGACGACGGCGAACACGGGACCTCCAGACCGCCAGACAGGCCCAGTTCCGTAGAAACAAATGAGAACTTCAGTAAGTGCAAGCACTGTTTGAGGAACCCATAGAAGGAGAGATACGTTTAGCGACCTCGCGGTATAGGTGCATGTGTGTGTAGATAGGTCTCACTACATATCTGTAGATCAACGGGGCAACCACAAGACAACGACGGGACAACCACAGGAAAACTCGTGGGACAACCACGGGACAGCCACATAACAACCACGGGACAGCTACGGGACAACAATGGGACAACCGCGGGACAATGACGGGACTGCTGATTGTGTCCCGATGATGATGATGATGATGTTGATGATGATGATGATGTCGCTGATGATGATGATGATGATGATGGTGTCCCGATGATGATGATGTTGATGATCCTGATGATGTTGTTGATGATGGGATGATGATGATGAGATGATGATACAGATGATCATGATACTGATGATGATGATGGTGTCTCGACGATGATGATGATGACGAAGTTGATAATAATGCTGTTGATGATGGTGATGATGATGACGGTGTCCCGATGATGATGCTGATGTTGATGATGATGTTGATGACGATGATGGTGTCCCGATGATGATGATAATGATGTTGGTGATGATGTTGATGCTGAGGTGGTGATGGTGATTTTGATGATGGTGGCCCGATGATGGTGATGAGGATGCTGATGTTGATGATGCTGATGCTGGTGTCCCGATGATGATGATGGTGATGATGCTGATGGTGACAATGATGATGGTGTCTCGATGATCATGATGTTGATGATGATGTTGTTGTTGATGATGATGGTGTCCTCATGGTGATGATGCTGATAATGTTGTTCATGATGATGATGAGGTGATGACGAAGGTGTTCCAATGTTGATGACGGTGCCCCGATGATGATGGTCTTGATGATGATGGTGACGATGATGGTGTCCCGATGATGATGATGGTGATGATGATAATGTTGATAATGATGGTGATGAGGTGATGATGGTGATGATGGTGTCCCGATGATGATGATGATGATGGTGATGATGATGATGTTGATGACGTTGATGACGATGATGTTGATGATGATGATGATGATGACGTTGATTGTGAGATCGATTGTGGTATCAATAGGGAGATCGATGGTGAGACCGAATGTGAGATCGATTGTAAGATCGATAGTGGTATCGATAGTGAGATCGATGGTGAGATCGATAGACAGATCGATTGTGAGATCGATCGAACGAAATAGATCGAGTGACATCGATCGTGGGATCGATCGAGTGAGATCGATCGAGCGAGACCGATAGTGAGATCGATAGTGAGATCGATAGTGAGACCGATCGAGTGAGACGTTGGTTCCTCCCCCCCTCGAACCTCCTGATCACCCGAAGGGTGGTCGTATAGGTACAAATACATATAGACATAAAGACAGCCATACATACATACACGCATGCACACAGACATAGGCATATAAATTGCCATATACATAAACATATCTATCCACACCTATACGACCACCCTTCGGGTGATAAAGAGTTTTTGGGGGGGGTGAGAGGGGGCGAGAACCAACATCTGAGTCGATCGATTTCACTATCGATCTCACTCAACGGGACACCACGGGACACAATGGGACACCACGGAACACTTGTCGATCTCACTATCGATCTGACTATCGATCTCACTCAACGGGACACCACGGGACACCACGGGCAACCACGGTACACCGCGGGACACCTCTCGATCTCACTATCGGTCTCACTATCGATCTCAACGGGACACCATAGGACACCACGGAACACCACATCTATCTCACTATCGATCTCACTATCGATCTCACTCAACGGGACACCACGGGACACCTCGGGGCACAACGTCGATCCCACTACCGATCTTACTATCGATCTCACTCAACGGGACACCACGGGACACCTCGGGGCACCACGTCGATCTCAGTATCGATCTTACTATCGATCTCACTCAACGGGACACCACGGGACACCATGGGACACCGGTCGATCTCTCTATCGATCTCACTTCTTGGGACACCACGGGACACCTCGGGGCACCACATCGATCTCAGTATCGATCTCAATATCAATCTCGCTATCGATCTCACTCAACGGGACACCACGGGACATCACCGGACACCACGGGACACCACGGGGCACCGCGGGACACCGCGAGCCACCGCCGGACAGACGGACGGACGGGCGGGCGGGGGAGAATCATTTGTCTTGACTTCGCCCTGGCAACGGCGGACACCACGGGACACCACGGGACACCATGGGCCACCGCGGGCCACCGCTGGACAGAAGGCGGACGGACGGAAGGCGGAGGAGCAACATTTGTCTTGACTTCGCCGCAACGATGGGTTCATTCCTCTCGCGAGCCCACGCAGCTTCGCCTCGCCCGCACCCACGACACGAACGAAACGAAACGATTTCCCAGTGGGGGGTCTCCGTCCCACAGCGATCTCACCCCCCCAGCCTCCGACTAAGAATGTAATTGGATTTGGGCGCAACTAGCCCCAGTTGATTCCAATCATATTCGGTCCAGCTGATCCCACTTGGATTATCAGTGGAATCTATGTACAATCTAATTGGTGTTGAGGAGGCCCCAACTCCATCTAATTCCAATCATATTCCCTAGTGGCGTAGCAAATACTTTGGGTGGAGTGGATCCCAATCCAGCTGACCAGTTGGATTCACATTGGCATCGAATTAAACATTAATTCGACTTGACAGATCCCGAATCCAGATGATTACGCTTGGATTCCGAGTTGAATTTGGTTAGAATCGAATTGCACTTGAACAGATCCCAAATTCAGCTGTGTCCAATTTGATTCCTACTGGAAACTGCTGAGGACTTTATTCGAATGGAGCAGGTCCCAGATCCAGCTGATTCGATTTAGATTCCCGCGCGAGAGAACAGCGGAGAAATGACAAACAGGAAAAATTGACGAGCAAGCGCGGATGGACAAAAAGCTGGATAATCAGTAAGAACACAAATGACGAGCTCAAAGACTGATGCAACATGAATGGGTGCTGGGGGGGGGCTGCGCCATACATCAATATATATATATATATACATATGAACAATGTACAACAAAGAGGGCACAGCCTATTGCGCAACATCTATTCCTTGCTTAAAGAATCGGTTATACCACCCTCCCCCCAGACTGCAATATTCCCCCTTTCGTATTGCAATTTGCATATTTTTCTTATCCATCGTCCACCCTAAATGTGAATTTACACTATCCCAGGGGGGGGGCAGTATCGCCCCCCCCCCTGCCATCTTCTGCAAAACATACTCTGCGCGCGCACTCATTTATCAACAACTAGCAATTGTTCAATAATCCCTTGCAACAAATGGGACGAAGTTCGCACGCGCGCGTCGACGCGCGCGCATGCCGAAATCCTTCAAAACAAGCCTTCGGTTTCGGAAGGAATTCAAAATCGAGTTTCCCACCAACATTGCAAAACACATGTTTCGCAACACGGATCTTCTAAAAAAGCTTACGCGCGCGCTCTTGATAAAGGAGACGATAAGTTTTCCAAGATGTTCAAATCAATCTACCAAAAGGGCTTCCCGCGCGCGCATGTCGAAATCGTTCGAACGCCCTTGCGCGCGTGCCGTCGCGAGAATCCTCTACAAAAAAACGAAGTGCATGCGCGCGCGTCGTCGCGCGCGCATGCCGAAATCATTCGAAAACCTTCGGTTTGGAAGGGTTTCAAAATCGAGTGTCCAAAACACGTACAAAAACCCAGGGATTCGCAACACGGGTTTTCAACAAAAGCGTGCGCGCGCGCTCTTGCGTCGTCGTCGTCGTCGTCGCCGTCCTCCCTCCTTCCTCGTCGTCGTCGCCGTCGTCGCCGTCGTCGTCCTCCGTCGTTCCTCGTCGTCGTCGTCCTCTTTGGCGTCGTCGTCGTTTCCGTCGTCGTTGTCGTAGTGGTCGTCCTTCCTCCTCCCTCATCGTCGTCGTCGTCCGTCGTCGTTGTCGCCGTGGTCGTCCCTCCTCCTCCCTCGTTGTCGTCGTCGTCCGTCGTCGTCCCTCCTATTTCATCGCCGTCGTCGTCGTCGTCGTCGTCGTCATCCCTCCTCCCTCGTCGTTGTCGTCGTTGTCGTCGTCGGCGTCGCTGTCCTCCATCCTTCTTCGTCGTTCGCGTCCTCGCCGTCCTCCCTCCTCCCTCGTCGTCGTCGTCGTCGTCTTCGTTGGTGACGTCGTCGCCGTCGTCGTCGTCTTCGTCGTCGTCTTCGTCGGCGTCGTCGTCGTCGTCGTCGGCGTCGTCGTCGTCGTCGTCGTCGTCGTCGTTGTCGGTGGCGTCGGCGGCGTCGTCATCGTCGTCGTCATCGTCGGCGTCGGCGTCGTCGTCGTCGTCGTCGTCGGTGCCGTCGTCGTTGTCGCCGTCGTCGAAGTCGTCGGAGTCGCCGTCGGCGTTTTCGTAGTCATCGTCGGCGACGTCGTCGTTGTTGTCGCTGTCGTCGTCGGTGTCGTTGCCAAGTGCCATTTGGTACCTACCATCACGGTCTTAAGAGGTCTTGCGACCAAGTTGCGGGTGGGAGGGTGGGATGTTTGCACGGGCAGTGGAGAGGACACCTTCAAGACAGTCAAAGTGAATTGCACAACATAGATAGCACCACATATGCTGCTAGAGACACATTGCTTGGGGTCCACGCTGGCTAACATGTGCCTTAAACTTTCAAAGGGGTTGGGCGTTTCCGCCACTTCGGGTTCCCAACGCTCCAAGGCGGTCCAAGAGGCCGCCAAGATCGCCACAAGACGGCCCAAGTGGCCCTCAAGAGGGTGCCGAAACGGCCCAAGAGGCCCCCAATGCAACCCAATATGCCTCTCAGACGGATGCCCCAATATGAATCCCAGATGGGGAACACGAGCCGACATTTCGAGTTCTCCGCTCCAAGAAGCCCCTAAGGGGCCCAAGGGACCCCCAAGAAACCGCCACACCCAAGGGGCCCCCAGGAGGCCCACAAGAGGCCCCCAAGAGGCTCGCAAGAGGCGTCAAAACTTCACCTCAAAGGCCACCACGAACCGTCCGAAAAGACCTCAAGAAGCATCCATGAGGACTCTGGCCCACAACCCAGGCAAGGTGGCAGGATGGGCCTCGGGCCGAAGGCCACTAGATTAGACAGCACAGGAACTCACGTAACTTCGCCTCGCCCGCACGCGCGTCACGCATGGCACGAACCGACACCGACACCGATTAAATCGGTGTCGGTGTCGGTCCGATTTCCCGGTTGGGGGACTCCGTTTGACTTCGACCTCACCCTCCAGCCTCCGATGATGGCGAGGTCAAAGATGATGATGCTGATGATGCTGATGATGCTGCTGATGACGATGATGAAGCTGATGATGATGCTGATGATGCTGATGATGCTGATGATGATGATGCTGATGATGGCGATGATGATGCTGGTGATGATGCTGATGAGGACGAGGAGGAGAAGGAGGAGGAGGAGGAGGAGAAAGAAACTTGTCATTCATGCGCCAATCGACGGTAAGCATCTGCCTCATACCGAGGAGCATAAAGAGAGTGGGAAGTGGCGGAGGGGGGAGTGAGGAAGACGAGGGAGCAACTATGAAGCCGTAGGGGAGGAGGGCGAGAGCTGGCTGAGGACGGGAGGAGCGGAGATGGAGGGATGGGGGAGGAGAAGCAGGACGAGGAGTTGGAGGAGGACTGGAAGGGAGAGGAAAAAGAGAGATGAGGACGAGCAGGAGGACGAAAGGGAGGCGTCGAGAGGACGAGAGGGAATAGGAGCATTCGGAGACGCTCCAGCCCTGACGGAGGCTTGCAAAGAGTGCAGCCGCCTGGGCTGACGCGTGCGCGCCCAACATGGGGAAGGGATTCCTAGTTGGGCCGGATGGATGCATGTCAAGACAGGCGACCTGCTGCTGCACAGATGATGGCGGGGGGGCGGGGGGGAGGACGGTCAGCGAGGCGATGCTAGAGTATCGAGAGGGGCTCGGCGGCGAGCCCCGGGGGGACGTGAGAAGGGGCGGGCCTTCTCAGAAGGCTTGGAAGGCCTCGGGCTGACCTTTCTAGGCCAGAGGGCTTCTGAGAAGCCCCGCCGCCTTCTGAGAAAGTCTGCTCCTTCTCACGTACCCCCTTGGCGTGCAGTCGAGAAGTGGCAGAACGTAGCACACTGAGGCTTTCGAGTGGAACGACCTGGGCAATTACACCAAGACACAGGCTGCCGATGCGGAGGGGCATTGCGAGAATGGGCCGGTCCGCCTGATCCGGTGCGGTGGGACTCCCACAGCTAGCGCAACATTCTGCACGAAGGCATTCCTGGCTGCGCGGAAGGACTGTGGTTTGATATCTCTAGCCTGCCGAGCTGGCTACTGCTTGCTGAGATAACCACTTCCGCTGACGGACGATATCAAATAATAGAAACAGAAGCCAACACACAACCGAACCGTTGCCCTTGTCCCACAGAGACCACGACTGTCAAAATGACTACCCACCGTGTCTGTGAAATCGCTGATTCTCCGATCGTAAGACATGTCAAATCACACTGTGATGTTCCGTCAGCTCGAGGGTCCCGCGAGCTCATCCTGCTCCTCTTCACGAAAGAGCGGCAGGAGATCTTTGATTCTTCACCTGTGTGTACCCATCGGTCGGAAGAAGTAGGTAGAAACATGAAGTAGGAAGGCGTTGGAAATAGATTGGGTCTCCGCCCGTCTCCTGAAGAGGAAGGAAGAGGGAAACCCCCTCGACTCTTGAAGTAGGAAGGCGCTGAAAGTAGATTGGAATCTGGGAATCCAAAAATACCTACTTTCAACGACCGATGGGTAAGCAGGAGCCAGAACATGGTGTGGACACATTAGGCATTCTATCAACGGCGCGAACTGCCTCACTGGACCAACGGCGATGTGCCGGCATATTTCCTCGAGTGTGCTTTGCCTGTGGTGGGTGGGGGATATTTGTCATCCGACATATTTTGTGTGTCATCCAATGCATTTGCTCTAAGCACGCATGCGAGGAACACAAGCCACAGGCCCCTGGCAAGTAGCAGGTGCACAGCCATATAAAAGAGGGAGAACACGTCCTGAACTCGTCCTCGTCGCCGATGTCCCTGTACCTGGCTATCTATTCAGACAGTTGAATGCCAGTCTTGTTCCCAGCACCACGGACATGATAACCAGACAGCACACACTGGGAACATGCAAGCCGAGCCATAGCGTCACCACGTAGCCGCTGCATTCACGAGCAATGCTGCGACCACGATGCGTACGATCTGGATTGGAATGCAGCTCTCGCCTCGGCGCTAGCCGCAGTCTCGGGTCGGAATGGTGCTATCGTCTCGGCGCCAACCACGTGGTTGCGTTCGGAAGGGCAATTGCGTTCGCAACTGGCGAACTAGATCAGCACCTTGTCACTGTGGCCTCCACGGCGGCCTCATTACTGGGTCAGTGCGCTGTTCTCGCTTCGGCGCCAGCCGCACTCTTAGAATGCTGCTCTCGCCTCGACAGTGGCCTCGCTAAGGTCGGCTTGTCGCTCTCGCCGTGGCGCTGGCCACACTTTTGTGCCACATGATGCGCCCCTCCTTGTGCGGTATTGCTCATCACTTCCATCGTCGTCACGCGATTAACAATTCCTTGGGGCGCACGGCTTCCCAATTTGCAAGGGATGGGACCTTCGCAACATGTATTTGTGCGCGCTCCCCATTCACCGTTTCCTCTTCCCTCCTCCTCGTCCCTCCTCCTCCTCCTCCTCCGGGATCATCGCCCGGTCGACCGGTGATCAGTCGCCCAGCTATGCACCATGAAAGATGCAACGCCACAGCGCCCCCCCGATATGATGCGCTGCACCATGATGGACTATGCTACGCATTGCCACAATACTTCATGCTATGCTACCCACCTTATGATCTGACATGCAACAACATACGATGTTTCCTAATACGCGTTGCGGTAACATGCTATGCCGTGATGTTGCTAGTCCAGCGCGTGCAATGCTACGCTCAATCATGCTACGGCATGATTCTCACTATGATCTCCATTGCTATCGCGTTTCGTAACATGCGCTGACATGCTCCGGCAGGTTATGCAGTGCAGCGATATGCAATGTCATGCCATGCTCGAGCCAACAACGCCATCATATGCAACACCGTATTCTGCCACTGTTCATGTGATTGTGCCCATGGTTGTGCAGTGCAGCGTCATTCTGTGCTATGCTGTGCTATACAATGTGATACCGTGCTACGCCATCACGCGACATGTTGACATGTTATGCAATTTGATGCAACGCAATGCCCAGGCAATTTTATGATATATTGTTTTGGGTTTGCCCGCGGTGCTAGGGCTAGAGGGCTGATGCTCAGGGGGTCGGGGAGGCATTCAATTTTACCTTTCGATCTGCAAGCTCTCTTTGGGCTCAACAACGCGCCTTAGAGCTGAGCGTGGTATCCAGCAGCGCGGTAAAACCAGATCACCACCACGAGAGCCGTCGAAACCACACGGCTGGTTCAGAGATGCAGAGGCCACCGCATGGCTGTGGTCTTACATCGATCATTATCCGCCAGCGTGCCCTGAGGCACGAGTTGGATTGTCCTCAGGTCCCTCGGGGTTCTTCGTCCTCAGTCCTGGGTGAATTAGCTCACGCGAATATGCTGCTAAAACAAATTTCCGGGGCGCCTCAATATGGCACCCAGACGGCCCGAGAAGCTTCCATAGCGCCCCAAGAGGCCTTCCAAAAGGGCCACAAGAGGCACAAGGCACACATCTTAGATTCTCCTTCGGGTTTTGAAGGATTGCGGCGTTCTCGATTGTTCGGCTTCCCGACGCCCCAGGACTGCTCAAGACGACCCAAACATCGCACCAAGAGACCTCCAAGAGGGCCCTGAAACAGCCCAAGAGGGCACCCAAACGGCCCAAGAGGCGCCCGAGACGGCCCACGAGGCCTCAAAGACAGCTCCAAGAGGGGGCCCAGATGGGGGACCCGAGCGGAGATTTCGAGCCTTCGGCCCCGGAGGGGCCCATGAGGCCCGCAAAAGGCTCCCAGGAAAACCGAAAAGGCCAAGAGGCCACAAAACTGCCCCCAAGAGGCCCCCGAGAGTGTTCCGAATAGACCTCAAGAAGCATCCCTGAGAACTCTGATCCGTATCTGAATCACGGTGGCGGGATGGGCCGAAGGCCATGAGATAGTTTACAAGTCTCCAGCATCGAACTGCTCATATTTCCCAAAACAAGTTAAATAGATAGACCATTCGAACACTCTCAATCGCTTAAACGCTTCAGATTATGATGGCACTCTTTTAAAGCGAAAAAAGTGACGGATTCCATCCCTGGTCATACATACGTGTATACATGCGCACACACGCATACCTATGCATTATATATAAACATGTGTATATACATGTTTATATTTATTAATATATATATATATATATATATATATGTATCGCCGTTTGATTTGTTCCCCACATGTTTCGTGGGGTTCTGGTTTTCTTCCCTGCCGCGGAGCACCCGCGTCTCACCTCACCTCACACCTCATCTCCTCTCTCCTCCTTCCTCTCCTCACCCGCGCTCAACGCGTGCACGGCAAGTACATGAGACACGCGTCTACATACAGCCGCGCGCATGCACACACACTCGCACACAACACACACACCCACACCATACAACGCTAGTGCGCGCCTGGCGTGATCACTGCAGCGTCCATTGAGGCGTGTGCGCGACATAGTGGGCACCCACATGAGACACATCCCGATATAGCCGCACACGCATCATACACATACACATAACATGCCATATTCAAGACGTGCGTATAGGATTCGCAGTGGATGGCAGGAGGCTCTATGCAAGCCATGGCGCAGGGCCTAGCAGGCGTGGCGCTTTCTCGACACCGCAGGGGGTGCGCAGGGGGTGGTCTCTCACCGCGGTCCCTAAAGCGCCAATGTCGCAGGGCCTAGCAGACGTGGCACTTTCTCGACACCGCAGGGGGTGCGCGGGGGGTGGTCTCTCACCGCGGCCCCTATACGCGCCAATGTCGCAGGGCTTAGCAGGCGTGGCACTTCCTCGACACCACAGGGGGTGCGCAGGGGGTGGTCTCTCACCGCGGTCTCTATACGCGCCAATGTCTCAGGGCCTAGCAGGCGTGGCACTTTCTCGACACCGGAGGGTGTGCGCGGGGGGTGGTCTCTCACCGCGGTCCCTATACGCGCCAATGTCGCAGGGCCTAGCAGGCGTGGCACTTTCTCGACACCAGAGGGGGTGCGCAGGGGGTGGTCTCTCACCGCGGCCCCTATACGCGCCAATGTCGCAGGGCCTAGCAGGCGTGGCACTTCCTCGACACCAGAGGGGGTGCGCAGGGGGTGGTCTCTCACCGCGGCCCCTATACGCGCCAATGTCGCAGGGCCTAGCAACTTTCTCGCACCCGGCAGCAGGCGTGGCTCTCACCGCGGCCCCTTACAATGCGCAGGGCTAGCAGGCGTGGCACCCCGCAGGGGGTGCGCAAGGGGGTGGTCTCTCACCGCGGTCCCTATCTGCGCATAGCAGGCGTGGCACTTTCTCGACACCGGAGGGGGTGCGCAGGGGGTGGTCTCTCAGCTCGGCCGCTAGGGCGCAGGCCTAGCAGGCGTGGCACTTTCTCGACACCAGAGGGGGTGCGCAGGGGGTGGTCTCTCACCGCGGTCCGTATACGTGCCAATGTCGCAGGGCCTAGCAGGCGTGGCATTTTCTCGACATCGCAGGGGGTGCGCAAGGGGGTGGTCACTCACCGCGGCCCCTATACGCGCCAATGTCGCAGGGCCTAGCAGGCGTGGCACTTTCTCGACACCGCAGGGGGTGCGCAGGGGGTGGTCTCTCACCGCGGTCCCTATACGCGCCGATGTCGCAGGGCCTAGCAGGCGCGGCACTTTCTCGACACCGCAGGGGGTGCGCAAGGGGGTGGTCTCTCACCGCGGCCCCTATACGCGCCAATGTCGCAGGGCCTAGCAGACGTGGCACTTTCTGGACACCAGAGGGGGTGCGCACGGGGGTGGTCTCTCACCGCGGTCTCTATACGCGCCAATGTCGCAGGGCCTAGCAGGCGTGGCACTTTCTCGACTCCAGAGGGGGTGCGCAGGGGGTGGTCTCTCACCGCGGTCTCCATACACGCCAATGCCGCAGGGCCTAGCAGGCGTGGCACTTTCTCGACACCGGAGGGGGTGCGCAGGGGGTGGTCTCTCACCGCGGTCCCCATACGCGCCAATGTCGCAGGGCCTAGCAGGCGTGTCACTTTCTCGACACCGGAGGGCGTGCGCAGGGAGTGGTTTCTCACTGCGGTGAAAAGCAAGCACATACGATTTAAATTAAGTATGTGGGGTTCCTCGGAAGCGTATTTTTTGCTGAATTTTTTCGAATATCTCTCTCTACACACACGACTATTTCATATGATATGATATGCATTATGTTTTATCTGATGTTTCCCTGCCGTCCCTCCCTAGTGGAAGATGATGTATCATTTTTTTCCACGGGGCCATCTTCCAATTCTCTCCGGCAAATCTTCAATGCAGGCTTGACGGGATCTCGCACTCCGGAGACCCGCCGATTCCCTGGTGGGTAATTTTCCAGTCTTCTCCTTCGTCGCACCCCCACCCATCCAGCCTTGTTTTGCTGGGCGGGCGGGCGGGGCAAGTACTCCTGGAGCTGGGCGGCGCAATGTTCCCCTGCCCCCCAGCCCTCGATCCGAAAGTTTACGGGCGCATCTGGCCGCTCACCTCTGTGACCCCACTTGCTGGCCAAGACTGGGCGGCACAAGTATCCACACCGCGTATCCGACTCCGGGGCAGACGCCTTCTCATGGCGCGCGCCGAACACTGTCTGCGGTCCAAATCGTCCGAACATTGCACCAGCCTGAATGGCTGCTGACCTGCCGCACGCGGTGGATACAAGTATCTCCAGAGGATACAAGTATCTCCAGAGGTGCATCCGAGTCCGGGGCAAGCGCCTTCCCGAGGCGCTCATCGAAACTGTTGGTGGTCCAATTCCCCAAACAGCGCAGCATCCTCGCTCGACGGACCGAAAGGGCATGCGTGCACTTGCGCACGCACGTTCGCAGGATGGCATGAAGCACAACATGCTTCGCATATGAAGTGCATCTGCATCTCATGATCTCTGCCCCCTGCTCTGATTTCTGTCTCTCTCTCTCTCTCTCCCTCTCCCCCGCACGCACACACACACGCACACGCACACGCACACGCACACGCAAATGCACACGCACACGCACACGCACACGCACACGCACACGCACACGCACACGCACACGCACACGCACACGCACACGCACACGCACACGCACACGCACACGCACACGCACACGCACACGCACACGCACACGCACACGCACACGCACACGCACACGCACACGCACACGCACACGCACACGCACACGCACACGCACACGCACACGCACTCGCACTCGCACACGCACACGCACACGCACACGCACTCGCACACGCACACGCACACGCACACGCACACGCACACGCACACGCACACGCACACGCACGCGCACGCGCACGCGCACGCGCACGCGCACGCACACGCACACGCGCACGCGCACGCGTTCGCGCACGCGCACGCGCAAGCGCACGCGAACGCGCACGCGCACGCGCACGCGCGCGCG